ATCACAAACTGGAGGGTATGTTAAATCTTTGTAGCTCACAGGATGCAACATATGAAAATACATACTAGACAAATATTTAAATTTAGTTCCCACTTGTTTAATACACATTCTTGTTACAGGTTGATCTTTTGAATGTTTATTTCTCTTTCATGACATCGTTGTCAAGGTAGTTGTTCTAAGCAAGCAAAATCTTCCAAACTGGTAGGCGATGTCTCGAATACACAACCCTTCAGTTAACCCCACAAAAAGTAGTTGGAAGCTGAGAAATCAGGAGATCCTGGTGGCCAGTTTAAATCAGGAAACTATGAGATTAGTTGTGGGAATATTTTGTGCAGCATTTCCATACTCGTGCAGCATGTAATGTGGTGCCACCTTGCTGTAACCACACTGTTACTTTTATGTTCCCAACCAAACTACCTCTTATGCTGTACATACCTCTGGCCATGGAAACCTCTCCACAGCTCACATTGTTGTATACTACTCAATATAAAAGTGTCATTCTTTTCTACCAGACCATGTTATATGCATACAATTGATTTGAAGTAGGAACTTATATTTTTCAATTATTTCATACATGTTAAGAACTTAAATCTTGATAATGCCTTGTATCATATAATTGGAAATCTTTGCACTCATGTGGAATATCATATTGCTGGTACAGCGAATACTGCTGATGTCATTACTTAAGACATCTTTAGTATGAAGATCACAATCCCTTTAAGTAGTTTTGTGTTATGTTTACCATGTCTATGTAAAAGCAATCATTGTGAAGTGTGATGTAGATTATTTTTTACATTTTTTAAACTATATTATTTCTTACATTTTAAAGAACTGTGGTAAAATACTCATTTAAAGGACTTCAGTATAATGTTCTCTCTCATTAAATGAACAGAATGCATAAATCCCAACTGAGTGCATTGGCACATTGGTAACTTAAGCGTTAACATTGAGGAGACATTCTGTTTGAATCCCAGGCACTGACTGGTTATACTCTTTCCTCAAGACAAAACCCTGTTTCCACATGCATTCTTCACACCATTGTGTTCTGAGTGCTACTGGTTGAGTCAAAATTTTTGTTGTTGTGTTATTGCAGCTGTCATAATGTTATTTTACACTGTACAAAGAATTAATGTGCCAGTAGTTATGTAATTTACAAAGATGTATTATCATATATCATCTGACCTGTAGTCACTCCCACCTCACAAGTATATTCATCCACCATGTTTGTATTATTAATTACAGGAAATTCAAAATAAAATGTTTACGATAGCCTCCAGTTGCATCTTGTCAATACCAAATTTTATCAAAATCTGTTTACTAGTTGGTAAGTTGAAACATACGAAGACATGGTCAGCCCTACGTATGTTTATTTCATGAGTATCATTTACAGAACACATAATAACTAAAGAACTGACCCAGATATATTACTTTTCTTCAATTTAAGATTTTCATCATGATAACTGAGGAGAAAAGACCAGGTAATTATTACTTAGATTAGGTTAAAGATTTATTGAGAAAGGCAAAACAATGTGAAAAAATCTTCTCATTATTCTTGTAGTACCATTTCCCCTATTATACAGGTCAGTGGTGGAATGATCTAATGACTGTAATGTATAGGAGGACTTTAGAGAAAGGCATTTCTGTGTTTGAACAAATTCAATGTATCTGAAAGAAGATGTCTCTTCAGTTTAGAGTTCAAATTCTTTGACATTCAGAGAAGCATCAAATGGGATTTTTGCTATATATTTTAAAACATTAATGGTACAAATGTAGGAGTGAGCAATAAGTAACTCAAGATGGCCATCTTCTGGGTTGCTGCGCCATGTAGTCTGGTAGAAGTTTACTGGCATTTCAGAGGTCCTTGCTGCCTCTATCATCAATGCCCTGATGATGGAGGCAGCAAGCACCTCTGAAATGCCAGTAAATTTCTATCAGACTACATGGCACAACAACCGAGAAGACAGCCATCTTCAGACTCACTGCTGTGAAAACCTCAAATCCTGAACAATAAGTAACTCTGTTGCACATTTAAAATTACAGTATTCAAACTTATGTCTTTCTTTTCAGATATTATTGCAATGTTTGTGATTGTGTTGTAAAGGATTCAATAAACTTTCTGGACCACATCAATGGAAAGAAACGTATGTTCCATTATGTTTAAATATAGTGATATACAGTACAAATAGTAATTTCATCAATTTAAAATTAATTAGTAAGCCTGCTTTCTAACTTAGTCACTACTTACCCACCAATAATCTATGTCTGGCAATGGAATGGGAAGATCTAGCACATAAACTCCAGTTTGCTAACTTATAATATATTTTCATGAGAGTAATAGTATCTTACAATTTTCAAGTCAGTCATTTTATCAAGGGTGTCCATATTTAAGCAGAGCCTTAATTTTATGTTTTTTAAGGTACTTAATAAATTAAATGTCAAATTTAAGGGGGTGTGAAATCTGGGAAATGAAAATTATGTAACATAATGAAAACGTTTGGTTGCTTTATACCGTAATTTTGGCAAGCCATTTAAAATAAACATTTTTGAACACAATAGCAATGTAAAATGTAAACACTGATACAGTATATACCATGCAATTTCCTTAACCCATCAATTGTTTATTTTCTTCATTTGCTGTGGGTCTGTATAATTGATTTTCAATTTTGTTGCACTTTACAATAACATTATGCTCAGTATCAAACCTGTGTATTTATTTTCTTGTTGCTAACAATCCTTTTAGTGAATCCAGGAATGTTATTTTATCTTCTGCAACTTCCTCTACTTCCGCCATAGCCAACTATTTGCCCAGCAAACCTCAGAAGCAATGTCATACATTATGTATTCTTTAAACTGCACTCCAAGAGGCTGTAAACTATGCCAGTTACCCTCTTAATTTTAATTGAAGTTTATAGTACTGTCATTGCTGTAGAGATGATCAATAAAAACACCACACTTCACAAAGCAGTTCTTGATTGTAGTGAGTTTTAGCAACTGCTAGGCTTCTGCTATGAAGTGTGTCGTAGAGAACACATCGAGCTTTATCTTCATAGCATCCTGGAGTAGTCCACTATCTATCATCTGAATCAACTGCTTTATTTAATGACACTTGTATGTGCAGATGATATCAAAATCTAAAGCCTGGTTGGTATAAATAGAACTTAAGTGTTCCTGAGAAATATTGTGTTAAGATGAGCAGCACATTGGCAAATGAAAGGCGACATTTTTCAATTTTTGGCACCAAATTTTCTAAACAATTGCAAGGTAGTCTAGGTAAAATCCGGTAAACTTTTATTGTCAGTACTCTAAACATTAATTGAAAATTTTAGGAAATGTAAAGTCATGAAAGTGTAACAAAAATTTAACGTACGATTTGGGGTTTTCACGGCAGTGAGTCCAAAATTGGCCAGCTTCTAAATTTAACATTGTTCTTATGGGTATTTGATTGGGACGAAGCAAATGGTGTGTGAAATTGTTCAAAACGTAAAGTCTAAGACAGCAAAATTAAAGTTTCACTGTACGCTTTTTTCATAAGGATTTTGTGTGACATTCTTTATTTAATTTCAAAATGTCTTCAGTTTCTTTCATTTCTGAGGCATGAAATTTCCTGCAGATCTTTGTTTTAAAATCTTTTAAACTTTCTTCTTACCTTGGACTAAGACATGAAATTTTCAGTCCATATAAAACATGGTTATTGTGCTGGATGTTACATTCCATAAAAGAAAAGTATGTTGAATAATATTAATTTTCTTCTCAGATCAACGGAACTTGGGTATGTCAATGCGTGTTGAGAGATCGTCACTTGATCAGGTGAAGAAACGTTTTGAAGTTAATAAGAAGAAGATTGAAGAAAAGAGGAAAGATTATGACATTGAGCAGAGAATGAAAGAATTAAGAGAAGAGGAAGAAAAACTAAAGGAATATCGAAAAGAAAAGCGTAAAGAGAGAAAGCGTAAACTAGAGGAAGAAACCGAAACCCAAAATGAAACAGAATCTGAACTTGCTTCTATCATGGGTTTTTCTGGTTTTGGGTCATCAAAAAAATAGCAGTACTTTGTTTGCATTTTTATTTATTTAATTGATGAAGATAAGAGGCATTTGTGCAGTGGTGAGACACTTGTAACAAATGATTGACTAAGCATTTGTAAAAATATTTGTTGAGTAAATATGAATTAATAACAGTAACAAGAAAACAAATCATTTAATAAAGTAAGAACCCTATCTGAAAATATTAAAGAGAATTATGATTTATAAAGGAAGTAAAAGATGTCAAACTGTTGACTATAATTAGGTGATTTTCTTAAAATACATATTACACAAACCTAAATATTCAGTTTATTTGAATTCTATTATGTATATATCTTTATAAGGTCTTTGCTGCGACAATTTGGCTGAGCTCCAGAATTAGTTAAGTCTTATTCCTTCCTTATCCTGTTTGTGAGTGAAGGTCTGCAATTGTGGTATGCAATGTAAAAGTTATATATTCAGTAGTAGTATGTTTGCATTATGATAGCCTAAATACTCAATATTGTGGTAACTGTGTCATATCCCTAACCTAAAATTTCCACAGAGTATCATGAAAGTATGACTACATTTCATAAGAAGTGACAGATTCTCATTGTCATTACTATACTTGCACACAGTTTACATAGTTATACAATTGAGGAGCCATGAAATGCATATCTACATGTCTAGTGCCTTTGTTAGTGTTTACCCAAAGATAATGATACTTTAACCTTTATCAACAACAAAAAATTAAGCTAGTCTTTATACCTGACCTTTATGTCTAATTCATGAAATCGTCTATGTCAACTGACTGAATAACAGTAATTCAATTTGTAAATAGTAATAATTTGTAGGCAACTTCTATATGCAGATGTGACACTAAGGAAGTTTTGCAATTTTCAGAATCAGCATAATAATGTGAGGGAAAAAACACTACATTTATACATAATAATCTTTTAAATACAAATATAAATATGTGGTATCTTATAAATATGTTTTTAAATTATGAGTATGTAATATTACTTGAATTATGTCCCATGTTTGCCAGAAAATGCAAGTGGTGATATAACCTTCCAGTTCTCCATGCAATTTCTTAGAGTGGAGTAATGTTATATATCCAGTGCTGTTTTACAGTTGACTATTAAGAGATCTGGATTTGCCACTGCTCTGAAATAATAAACAACATGGCTTTTTAAATACACTAAAACCCATTTCAGAAGTTGCTGTGCAAGTTTTCCAAATAAGAATTTCAAGATGGTTGTTTCCAGAAAAAAACTTGTGCCAAGTGTTATATATATATATATATATATGCCATTAAGGTATTCCTAGTTTGAAATTACGTCTTATAAGAATGTTGATATTCTTTATTGGGATATGGTATCAGTAATGATGGTATCTTGAATATTCTTATGGAGAATATGGATCATATACCAGAAACATTCAAAACTATAATATGGTAACAATAATAATAATAATAATTTATTTACATTCCATGGATCCATAAGACAGTCAGATGACGATAGGATGTGGAAAAAGTCATAATAAAAATAATAATAATACAATACATATTATAAAGTACAGTTCATACTATTATATAAATTTCACATAATACAAAACAAAGTATTCACCTAGAGAAATGATAAGCTACAAATAGATCTACCCATTACACACGAAAAAAATTCATCGCTTATTTGTAAACAACATAAATTCATTGACAGAGTAAAAGGAGTGTGTAATTAAGTATCTTTTTAATGCTACCTTAAATTGCTCCTTCTTATTTACAAGACTTGTGAGATTTGATTGTAGACTATTGAAAATTTTGATTCCTGCATAATATGCACTCTTCTGAAAGCATGAGAGGTTGGCAATTGGTCTATGAAGCTGATTTTTATTCCTTGTGTTGACACTGTGTACAGCATACTGTTTTCCAAGTTAACATTATTTTCTGTACAAGGTGCCCAAAATACTTGCAGTTTCTGAAATTTCCTTCAGTGTCATTTTTAAAAGAGCTGAAAAATGACTGTCTTCTGGGATTTACTGTGTACATTGCTTACTGCCTCCATCACAGGGGCAATGAGTAAGCCATACAGAAAAAATAGGTTAAGATATAGGAGCAGGTCAACTTACTCATCACTGATACTGGAGGCAATAAGCACTTATGAAATGTCGGTCAATTCTACCAGACTGCATGGCGCAATATCCAACAAGACAGTCTGTTTTCACATTTGCCACCATGAGAACCTGAAATCTCACCCAACAAATAAAATGTGGCCCATGTCTCCATTTATGGACAAAGAGATCCATTTATGTTGTGAGCTTGTATGGTGAATCCTTAAACCCGGTGGCAGTATGACAGCAAGAATTATAGTGGGTACCTTAAATTAAACAGTTTTCTAAACCACAGCTGGAGGTATAGCATCTGAAGTTGACAAATCTTGAAATTTATCAGAGGCCAGAGTTGTACTTAGTAAGTGGAAAATTCCTCATTATATTTGGCCAAACTTGAACTGTTTTTTGGCATGGGATATTACGTTACCCATAGTCCTCAAATTCTCAGGAGAGGAAGTGTCTCCCCTAGTGAAATTTGTTATTGTTTAATTTCTTAATTTATTCTCTATAATCCAGGTGTCACAGTAGCATACTACTAAAATAGCCCTTTATTTAGAAAAACTTAAAAGCGGTTCGGACACTAATTCTGTTTACTGCTTTACACATTTTTCCATTATGCTTTTCAAATATGATTTATTTATAATGATCAACGCTGTGAAGGTTACTGGTACTGAGAAATTGTCAAGTTTGAGTCATGTGGTCATGACATTGTCATGTATTCAACATCTTGCAATCATCATCTGAGTCCATTGGCTCTTGAGTTGAATTATGCAGAGAGATGGACATACGTAGTCAGCCCTATGTGTGTTAATTTTGTGCACACTGCAAAGAACAAATTATGAAGCTCCAGCTGTGCAGAATTTAATGTAATTGTATCTAAGAGGGGAACACTGCAAAACGTTATAGTTAGGTATTTCATATGCATATCTCTGTTCATATTTAGGTCTTTTACTTCATTTAAACAAATTATCTGTTATAAAAATTATGACACATACACTTCGCAGACTTACCTTAAGTGATGATGGTAGACCTGTGCTGTCTTGTCAAACATATCAGCCAAGAAGTCTGCATCACTTGATGAATTTGTATTCCCTGCAGGTGTACCATGATCATCAGCCAGAAAATTGTCATCAGTTATTTGGGTAGTGGCAGTTGCACATTTCTCTGAACCACTGCCAAGAGTGTTGTATAATTTTCTATATGATATTGACCTGAAAATATTAGAAATAAGCTTGCAATATCTACACATGTTGTTAAATAGTTTGAAATGGTTTCAGACATGGGTTTCTGTTTTGATAAAATATTTCAGTTGACCTAACCAATCTATTATAAATGCAATAATCCCATTCTTGGTGCATTAGCAAGAATGTGTGAGCACCTGTATATCATGTCTGTCTCTTTCTCACAAAATGTTTTTCTAGGAACCTTATCTACAGCTGAGAGTCTTCATGTCTGGAGGCGTTAGGGAAGTGAGCTTGCCTATTACATAATCCATACAAGGCTTTTGATGTTTTCTGTGGCAATATGGTATATTTGTATGAGTTGGAGGAAAGATTTATCAATTAATCTTGTATGTTGCACCAAAATATTAGTAGTGTATGTCTGATGCTCACCCCACAAATGACAGAAACATGTCAGATAACGTATAATGTACAAAAGAAAGTTGTAAGCTTAAACTGTACCTTCCATCCACTGTCTTAATCTTATTTTACAAACAGATACAAATTATTTGTTTAGAATAGTTTCATTGCATATTCTTGAACTATTACAGTAAAAGCATGTTAATGAATAGAATCTTATGTACATTTAGGAACTTCAAAATGTTTGGAAGCAAAAGGAATATTAACCTTCATCATATATCAATAAAGGATTTCGATACTGTGGCATGCTACATAAGTTCAGCTAGATCACATGTAAGACATGACATATGAACAATAAAGGTAGGTTGTGCTGTATTTGTATTGCAGGATTAATTTTTATGCAAGTCTCAGTAGATGACTGTTGGTTGTATTTTGAGAGACTTAATAATCTATGGAGGTATTTAATCACTTACCTCACAATATCATCTTCTTTCATTGATAATGGATTAAACATACTTGGTAAGAATGTATCATTTTTCTGAAGAGTGTGTGGAGACTCAGAATATACTTCTTCACCACCTGATACTGTTTTGGAATCCTCAGTGTCAGAATGACTTTCCTGTGATGACTGTGGAAGTTAAAATGCGTGTACCATTTCTCTGATAGAGACAAAGCTAGTCTTCAAAAATTTTATAACATTCAAGCATCATGAATGTATTAATTCTTTGTTTATTATTTTTTGATAACTGTGAAATGCAGTCTAAAAGTCTGAAGGTAAAATAGAAATAGTAAATATTTGCAAATAAAGTGTGAAATTATTAAACACTTAACTTGATCATTTATATTGTTTATTTATTTCTGTTATGGTTGTGAAATGAAATAAGTTATGATATGAAGATTTCTGTCTTCTGGGATGATCATCGCCCTGATGACAGAGGCAGTATGACCTCTGAAACGTTGGTTAACATCGACCAGTCTACACAGCGCAACAACCCAGAAGACAGAAATCTTCATACTCACCGCTGTGAAAACCTCAAATCATACAGGTTATGGTATGTTGAGTGTGTAGCACATATAGTATAAAAGAAGTATATGAAAACTTGTCAGACTCACTTCTTTAAATTTAGAGTAAAAGTGAAAGCTTATAGCAAAAATAAATATACAACTGTGATGGTGGTTGATGGCATTTCGTGAAAAGACATAAGCCAGGCTGGAATTTTGGTATTATCCTGCAAGAATGATGACTGGTATTTTGATCTTATGCTGCAAAAATGGTAGTGATGGATTTCTATTGAAAGTTAATTCAGTGTTATGATTGTTTGGTGTGTTTGAACATCAAGATGTCAGGAAAAAATTAAAGAAGAATGGCATGAGTAGGTATAGCTTTTCTTGTTGAGAAATGTTAGGAAGGCAGAATTTCTGTCTGATTTGTGAACTGAGCCAAGATTTGTTGTCAACTGAACATACGTTACACACATTTTTAAAATTTAAAGTAAGAAAATGTGTTTCTTGTCTTTATTAACATGACAATGTATATGAGATGAACCAAAACTCTTTTCTAAGGTATGTGCATTTATTTGGAACAAGCTAATAGGATTTATGTGTTTGTACTTATACTAATTTATTAATAAGCCTATAGCTGCCTGTTAAACTTGTATAGTAATACTTTGTTAACTTATTCAATATTCTCTTTAAAGAGAAATTCATAAAGCCTTTAAAATAAGAGATTGGAATTTTTAATAATGGTATTCACTTTTAGGTTAATTCATAATTTAATCATTAAAAGAAACTTAAATTCTACAGAAAATATATTGCAAAAATACTTACTGAATATGTACATAATGATACATAGTGGACTGGTGAGTACTGGGGTAGCACATTTGATCCATTGTTTGTCTGTAGAATTGACTCATCAGTGAAGAGAAGGGGTGAACTTGGAGCAGAAGATGTGTAGTCACTAGAGTAAGCATTGTCTCCATTATGAGCTTTATTTGCTTCTCTTGTAGAAGATAGAAGGTCAGCTCCAAGTGTAGAATTATTATTCTTAGCCTGCCATTGTTGTTGTATATACGTCCTTTCAGTATTCACTTCTGACATGTGAATATCTTCCTCCTTTTCTTCTGTTTCAGAATCTTTGACCAGTTTATTTTCTTGATAGTTATTTGCTCTGTGTTTTGAAGTACAGAATATCTTTGTCTTCACTACACAACATTCTACCTCAATATTTTCTTTTCCTTTAGTATCCATATTTCTTTTCTCTTTTCTGTCTCCTGTGCTGCGTATTGCTTTAGATATTTGCTTTTTTACCCTGTTTCTTTTCTTAGTAATATTTTGTCTGTTTCTTTTCTTAATAATATATTGTCTGTTTCTTTTGTGTATGTCTATTGAAATTTCCTTTTGTTTGATTTCAGTTACCAGTGAAGTACAAAAGTTTGAAGTAATCAATCTCCCAATATTTGAAGGAATGGTTTGAATATCCTTACAGATGTGCAGTTCTGAATAGTGATTTTGACTTTTCTGTGACTGATCACAATCTTCATTGGATACTGTAGGATCTTCATATATCTGGACTTTAGCCCTATTTGTCTTTGTTGTTTTATCATCTTTTGATCTAGATTTTAGACCTTGTTTAGCCTTATTCCTTTTTGGATAAAGCGTTGAAGCTGTCTGTATAACATTAGCTTTGCTTTGAGGTGTTGCCAGTTGATATAATGTTCTTAAACTGAAATGAATAGAACTTTGTCAGTTATTTCCTGGCGTTGGAAAGCATAATATATATATATTCCCAGGGGTAAAGTGCAGCTGGGGCGTGATGCTGACCACTCACCCCATCTAGTGCTGAGGTCAAGAATGAGTAGGAGCTATACCACCTTTCCCCCCAAGTGCCTATATGGCATATAGTGGGACAGCTTTGCTTTACTTGTATGTGCTAAATGCTTCTGAATAAATTATCTTTTTATTTTTAGATAATATGTAAGTTACATCTACTCCTTTCAGCATCTTCTTCCTAAGACCCTCTCTGCAAGAATAATGTGAGGCTGTCTGTACTGATCATCCTTGACTGACCTATGCGACAAGATTTATAAGTCGAGTGGACGCACTATATATGATATGCACCACCTCCACTTACATTCATTTATCCCCATATTCCTCATACTTCACCAACTCCATGAACATATAAAGCATTGCGTGTTACTAGTAAGTTATTATGAATTGATTTTTGTTTAGAGCTTTTATCCCATTATAATATTGTCACAAGGGGTTACATTTTAGAATATTATAACTCATTTCACAGTTCCATAATATTATCTCTTGTAGATAGAATATGAAAGAGTTTAACACATTTTCAGTTTGGTTAGTTCAAACAATTTAGATTTTAAAAAACATATAATAGTTAAAACTTGGTATGCAAAGATAACCTGTTCACACTGAAATCTGCATAAAATTACCACCTTGATAAGCATGAAGTTGATTGCATACACAGGCATCTTAACATGCTGATATACCAAAATTAAAAATAATTAACTACATGCAATGAAATAAATTAGTATTACAATGGTTTTAATTTATTTGTCATATAAAAGATAAGGTCAACTGTTCAATCCATAATCTGACTCTTAATATTTCAACTACTAAGTAGACTGAAGTTTTCACTCATAACAGACATAAATTTTGCGTGATAAATGCTAAAGAGTCTTTCTGAATGAGTAAATCAGGAATAAGTGATTGATATTTACATATATGATATTTATTCACCAAGTAACATATTCAGAAATAATTATAAAATCACTTTAAAAGAAAAATTAATTATGAAAAACATTTCTAATGAAACTAGAGCAATGTGGGCAAAACTGGAAGAACCTTCAAGACAGAAAGGCATTTATTTTAATAATTAAATATAATTTAAAATTGAAGTTTATTAACCATGTTTTGATTTTCACTGTTGAGATTCATGGTTTCACTCAACCTGAGCATTTCAATTTGTGGATAGAATTATGCTGTTTCCCATGGCTACATTTACCTTTATGAGCGATTCTTTCTCATTTCATGTGCTGCTTTATAGTTTATTCTTACATATGTTTCATTAGTTTTACTTACGTAGGAATTTGTCCCATAAATGAAGGAATGTTCATTTTTGCAAGTGCTCGACCTCTACATTGAGATATTTCCAAGAAAGGATATTTCACATTCATTATTGCCAGTTCATATTCTAACCTTTTAGTAAAGCTCTTAGCTTCCTTGACTTTACGGGAAAAACGTTCTTCCCATATTTTTATCACGTCTTCGTCTATATTATATTTTCTGGGAAGAGGCGTGAAATCGTCAAGGTTATAAATATCCATAATTTACGTAGGCGTGCAAAATTTATTATTATCACTTTATGAGTTATCTAATGCAACATTACATTGAAATATATGCAATACAACACGTTTCATCATACAAATCAATATAAAATACTTGTCATGTGATGGAATACTAATATCAGCTACAATATATTTTAAACGAAAGTCGTGTTTGAAATACCGCCACTAGGAGAATATGGGCAAGTTTGTTAATCAGTCACAGATGGCAGAGCTTTCGAATTCCCCAATAATCAAGAAATGTTGGTATTACCTGTGATCAAGGAAGTACGTATATGGGCATTTATGTCGGTAATGAGTCATATACATATTTCTGGTAATGGAAACTATTTAATATGTTGGATTTGAAGTTCTCACGGCGGCGAACAATAATTGGCAAGTAACTTTATTACGCATATTTAGGAATATAGTTTTCTGTTGAGAAAGACTTTTAAGCGTGTACATTTTTTGTATATTTACGTGTTTTGTAGTCACATTATGTATAAATGTCAAGATAAAACTATATTGTAGAAATTCAAGAAAACATCTACCACATGTCCTCGAGGCTTAAGCAATACAGAGAATCATATTTTACTACTCATATTTGGAAATTATTTGTTTCGACCGAGAACATAGCTTGTAAAAACTTTTCCCACTAGAAATTTGGTCAACCAACCAACCAAGGGACGATGTCTTGCGCTTGCGTAGGACTCCGCCCTTAGTTAGCTTTTTTGATTGGTTGGAAAAATTTTATTCCTCTACAGCTAACGCTTGCTGTTTTGTGAGATATCAGTTGCATCATGACAGGTCGTGGTAAAGGAGGTAAAGGTCTCGGCAAGGGTGGAGCGAAGAGGCACAGGAAAGTTCTTCGTGACAACATCCAAGGAATTACTAAGCCTGCGATTAGGCGTTTGGCTCGGCGTGGTGGTGTAAAGCGAATATCGGGCCTCATTTACGAGGAGACTCGTGGAGTGTTGAAAGTTTTCTTGGAAAATGTTATTCGTGATGCTGTTACATACACGGAGCATGCCAAGAGGAAGACTGTCACTGCCATGGATGTAGTTTACGCTTTGAAGAGGCAGGGGCGAACATTGTATGGGTTTGGAGGTTAAACGGTGTAGGTGACTGACAAAACGGCCCTTTTCAGGGCCACAATTAATCTAAGGAAGTTTTAGTTTGCACATGTACTGAGTTATTAAATCCTTTGGTGCTCATGCCATTTCGGCTTATTGATATTTTGAGGACACTACAAGGAGAGTGCTGTTTTAATGTTTTAGCTATAGAAGCGATTTGGCCATGGAATGTCTAGAAGTCCAAACTTGAAAGCATATTTCATGAGTTTCAATGTCCTTTGCTGAGCGATTTTTCCTGCAAATGCACATGGACAGCAATTCGTTGAATTCTACTTGTCACTAACTGTTCCACTTTATCCAAAACGGTTTGCCCATCTATTCAGGTTGTTACTCTCAAAGGCCACATTTGACTGCCTGATGTTCAAAGACATCTCGCAGAAGTAGTGTGCAAAGGGTTTAAAACGTCCGTCTTCAAACGTTCCCCGCACAAAACAGTCCTTTAAATTTTATAATAAAGAATACAAATCATGTGTAGTAAAACAATTGGGATTATTGAAACTTCCAAATTTCACAAGTCAAATTAATAGAAGGTTAGTGAGCATGCACATCAAAATAATTTTTGGCTGGTTAAAACACAAGGACACCCATCAAAACTACCTAGACTTATGTGCACCGTGGTCTTTAATGGCAAAGGAGGAAGTATAATGGCCGTGTTTCATACATCAGTCGAAATGCGTTCTGTAGCCAACTTGACAATGTAACTCCATGCAGAAAACTGCCCTGACAGGAGGCAATTCGCATAATGAATTGTGTACCTAAGGTTTCTACAACCTTTTTTTTTTTGTTTTGCTCACGTGTTTCAATGTTTTTGTACTGTTCACGTGAATGTCGCTAATATAGATGTCAAAATTTTATCAGTCCCCCAGAGTTTGTTGTCTTTTGACTTTCTATCTGAGCACAATTTGTGTGTTTGTGATATAAGCATCCCCTTCATTCGAAGGTAAAAATGCTTTTAAATTTTTGTAATAACTAGCGTTGTCGGTTATTGAATTATTATAATGATATACTTGTTTTCTTGGACGCATACACCTGAGAGATGTTCATAGTATACTTATATCTTCGCAGTCCTCGTGTCAATCTTAAAATGTTTAAACCCATATAATCACCGTAACATTATTAGTTCAAATGGACAGACCGTGAAGTTTATCATTATCCAATATTCTCCATGATTCAGCTTCCTCACTTTTAGGTCCAAATTTCCTAAAGACCGTCAATTTATGATTCACCCTCAAAGGCAGAAACAGTTTCGCACCCATACAGTACAACTTCCAAAATTATTTGTTTACAAGAATTAACAGTTTATAACATACCAACGTTCCGTTGATATGAGGAGAAAATAAATGGTTAGGTACTGTAATTCTTTAAAAGAATCTAACACACAGCACAATAATCACGTTTTATTTGCCAGGAAGATTTCTCTCTCTCCAAAGGAAGGGCAAAAAAAGTTAAAGAAATTTGAAACAAACTAGAGGATATTTCAGGCTTTAGAAAATAAATTAAAGACGTGACATCCACCCAATATTAAGGTAGTTAAAACAAGGATATCACAATAAAGCAAAAGGAAAATATGAATGAGACTAATATTGGTTCTTCGGATTTCCTTACGACGAAAACATCAAAACCATTTTCACACCAATTTTAAATTCATAATTTCCGTGTTTTATAACAAACTGAAACGCATATTACTTTCGTAATATGAAATTTTGGGAAACAACTTTGCCATGCTTCATAATTGCAACATTCGATGTTTTTGAACATGCATGTAAACAAAGTGCTATACACACTTTCGAGAGTACTAGAGTGCAGCCACAATGGGACGATTCATACAGTGAACGGATTTTATAGAATGGGGAAGCTGACCTGAGTTCCTCATGATCTGACCTCGTGTTAAAAACTTATTTAGTGATGAGAAAGTATCAACCACACCTGAGAAGTGTGATATTAACAATATGAGGTAATTCAGGATATTAATATTAAGAGACAAAATGATTACTCCATGGAATTTATGTGAGGCCCTGAAAAGGGCCGTTTTGCTGTTGAATAACCTTATTTAGAGCTGGTATACTTAGTCACTGCCTTCGTCCCCTCACTGACAGCGTGTTTAGCGAGTTCACCTGGCAATAATAATCGAACTGCCGTCTGGATTTCCCGGCTGGTAATTGTTGACCTCTTGTTATAATGGGCCAACCTCGACGCTTCAGCAGCTATGCGCTCGAAAATATCGTTAACAAAGCTGTTCATGATACTCATAGCTTTCGAGCTTACCCCTGTGTCAGGATGCACTTGCTTCAACACTTTGTAAATGTAAATGGCATAACTCTCCTTCCTTTTACGTTTCTTCTTCTTATCAATCTTCGAAATATTCTTCTGTGCTTTTCCCGCCTTCTTCGCAGCGTTCCCAGATGCTTTAGGAGGCATCACAAATTTATATAACTTAATATGCTACACACAGTAGAAACACTTTCTAACCAAGCTCAGAAACCAGCAATTTCATCATATTTATGATGTCTACCCTTTGTGAATACCGGACCAATGGGTTTCGTCCTCCACCCTGATTGGCTCGGAAGTATTTCATTGATTTCTTGAAAAGCGAGGGATTCCGCGGTAAACCGTTACTGAAGGTTGTATCTGATTTGGAGTGGTTGTTAGTACGTGTTGATTTCCATTAACGACGATGTCTGGTCGAGGTAAAGGCGGTAAAGTGAAGGGGAAGTCTAAGTCACGATCTAGTAGAGCTGGACTTCAGTTCCCAGTTGGGCGTATACACAGGCTGTTGCGCAAGGGAAATTACGCCGAGCGTGTCGGTGCTGGTGCACCTGTGTATTTGGCAGCTGTGATGGAGTATTTGGCTGCTGAAGTTCTGGAATTGGCTGGTAATGCTGCTCGCGATAACAAAAAGAGTAGGATCATTCCTCGGCACCTCCAATTGGCTATACGTAATGACGAGGAGTTGAATAAACTTCTGTCTGGTGTTACTATCGCACAAGGTGGAGTGTTGCCAAATATTCAAGCGGTACTGCTTCCTAAAAAGACTGAGAAGAAAGCTTAGGTGATATATAACAAAACGGCCCTTTTAAGGGCCCCAATGCTTTTCCGAAAGGTGTTTGCATTTGTTTTCACTGTGATGTTCGGTTTATTCCACATTGAGTAATTTATTAAGTCTTCGGTACATTCTGTACGTTTCAAGAGTTTTCTTATTCGCCCCTTGTGCTTGCTTTAGGCATTCATGCCTATATCACTTTTTTATATGGTGTATTATTTTTACCAGTAAGTAATTCGTTCTACTTTAATCACTTTGTACAAATCACAATGTCATACCTTGGATTATTTTGTACTCTACAATAAAACTTGTTCACTGCTTGAGTCATGGTTGCACCTGAACACGAATTCCTTCACTGTCTGGCAGTACCTTGTTTATAAGCATGTTCATAAACTTATAATGTCGCAATTATATTAGCTCCCACATGATATCAAACAATGTGCTTGTCAGTAGTTTTACAAAATGGAACTTGCGAAGGTAATATCCGGTAAATTTTTATTAGAACAAAAATTCAATGGAATTTGGAAAAAAGCGGAAAGTTATAGAAATTTAAAATTGATTTAAAAACCAATGTAGATTTTGAGGTTTTCTTCTTGGTGAATTTACAATGGCAGGAAGTAATTTAACTGGACCATAAAACTGCACGTCACAGTACAAGAATTTGTCAGGCTATGTATATATCCTTGAGTGCTTTTAAACTGTTTTGAAGTGTGCTGATAAACAACTTTATTTGTTTGGAAAAACATTGGTTGACAAAGTAGAAAATTAAAGGTGTTAGAATTTTCCGAGCATGTTGCGCGAATGTTAGAACTGCAAATCACTATACAATTTTGTGGATGAATAGCTGTGCAAATAGTATGCAAAATCAGGCCCCTTTATTTAAAAGAATCCAGTCACCCTCTTGCTTCAAGAAGGGAAAGTTTTCTTCTATGAGCAGTGGCTGAAAAGTTTTCCTACTAATAATAGCAGCCTGGGAGCAATGTCTGCTATTCACAGCCCCCCTTATAATGAATGCTCGATCACAGACTGGGCCTGTCTCTTTCTTCACTCTCTCACTCACTTGGTCTTGGCAAAGCTCAGCTGCCGATTATTTAACGACGGTCCTAAGGGCAAGGCTTTGGCCTTGGTAAATTATTATTATTATTAAGTGTTCTGTCTTACGACAGGTCCATTGCTCTGCCCAAAAAGAGCTCTCCAGTTGTCCCTATTCTCGGCTTCTTGGTAAATACAGTCATAAAATGCTGCACAAAGCGAGGTCCTGTACAAACTGTAACTATATGGAGGCTAAACTATTGTCCTCCCTCCTTCCTTCAAACATGCATTCTCGAGTTCCTTTCTTCTGCATAAAACCGAAGTTGTGTGTGTTCGCTTATATCTCGAGAATCAATAAACCAGTTTAAATCAAATTATACAAGCTTATTCATCGAGATTTTAGACTGAACTCCTGAAGTATCCTGAGTTCGTGTTATGATTAGGGCGATCCTATAGTTTGGTGGTAAAGAATAGCGATAAAGACCAAAGTTATTTTCACAGCAATGAAGGTCATAATGAAAATTTATCCTGGGTTCGATTTCCGGTATACATTGTTCTTGCAGCTAGTATCCTAAGTACGATATAATAAGTAAGCTCTTTCTTCTGTCGAGGGGTTTATAAGACTGCTGTATTGTCCTGGGATCGACGGCATGTGAAGATTTTATTTTTAATTTATAAAACACAACCAAAACGTGTTCCGTGGAGGTCACAGATACTAAAAAGCCTTAAATTTGGAAAGAAACGGTGGCACCAATAATGATATTAAGCTCGACTACGGGCCTCAATGTTGCATAATTTCACTTTAGCTGAATGCTTCCATCATATTGTTGAGACGTGTTCTGTGGACTTCAAGGCTATTGATTTTCTGTTCGGGGTCACATACGGTCACAACCTGCTTGAAACGAGGGTGTCGTAGCTGTTGGTCAGGAGCTGGGGTGGGGGGAGATAGTATTAAATATTAAGCACTGAATGGAAAATCTGTTGCGGAAAGAAGAAAAATAATGAAATAAAATTTATAGTTATATGCGCGAAACTTATTGCAGTTAAATGTTGCCATTACGAAATAGAATAAATAAATATTTTAATAAAGTAAAATATTTAGTAACTATTAAAAACAGCATATGCATATATCTTTAGTGACTTCAAATATCTTTATTCGACAATATTATTATACCTGCATTTCCACTTTGGCCTACTTATAAATTGACGCAACAGACCCATTACAGAGCAGTTACTGGATGACAGGTGGGTAAACCATCGACAACACACTGAACTTTCAACCGTATGAAACAGAAGTACATATAAATAACAAACAAATATATTTTCCCAAAACATCTTAATCGTATTTTCACCTCTCCTAGAAGTAAAATCCGAGGCCCACGAGTTCTTGTTAAATACGTTATTGGTTAGTAATATAAAACCGTTCTGCATTCAAATATGAAATTAAGAAGCTAGAGCGATGAAGTCTCTGCTAAGTTCAGGGGGCACCATTATATAGTTTGGAAACATTTGCTTGAGCTTTTCTTATAGTCTTTCTGTTTAGAAACAAAATTTTATTAAATAAATTAATTATTTTTAAAAAAGTGTACTCTTATCATACATTGAAGTCGTTGAGAACCACTGACGTACAATAACGTATTAACGAACATAATATACTTCTAAGTTATTTAAGATACGAAATGAGACACGGGCAGTGTTCAAAATTCTTAAGAGGATATATATGTTTTAAATACTTGCACTTGCTCAAGCATATGTTGATTTGACCAGATTACTCCGCTTACCTGATCGTAGTTGTTTCATTTGAACCTTCATTTTTAGTAGTCATTCGGGTTCGGTAAGCCATCTAGTTAGTTAGTTATCAGATATTAAATAATCATTCTCCTCTGTCCAACCTAGAATCTTGTTTCAGATTGTCTTCAGCGGACACAACACATTTGAAAGTTATTAACAATTATACATGCTTAGTGAGATCTCTGTATGTCTGTTAATTCCCAAAGCCATTGGTTTAAAATTACATACTTTTATGATTTCATATTCTGTATTTAATACGTAGCGTATAAATTGCCTACCCTAACCTAACATACTTTTAATGCTGTCAGGTTTATGAAACTTACTACAGCCTTCGTACGTTATTAACAACAGCCGTACTATCTACTACTTCCCCATTAGTCAAGTAGTTAATTCCCCCAGTTTTATAAGTTCCGAGATTCCATTACCATGTTCGCATTTGTCCGCCGCCTGAGCTAGAATTCAGGCCATTACATATAATTGAGAATTACTATGCGTTATATTTGAATTTCTAATGTAATTTTAGAGCAATCTTTATCGATCTTCGGAAAGTCGATACACATATTTTTAGTCTGAAGTCGACATACCGTATACAAGTGATCGATTGTTCATTAATGAAGTACGTGAAATTTGAAGGTTGTGGCGCCATGTAGTCTGGTAGAAGTTTACCAACGTTTCTGAGGTCCTTGATGCTTCTATTATCAGGGCGACTCATTGTTAGTAATTTCCGGAAAGAGCCTTCAAAAATTTCCGTAAGCATGTTTCTGGAGGTTCTCACTTTTGGGTACTTTCCTCCCCAGCAGACGTTCTTGAATATTCGAGTTAAATAATAAATTACGAACAAAAGAAATTGTACACTTTCGTAAAATATTCAATGAAAATACAATGAAGTAATTCTTATTTGATTTGGAAATACTGAGGTCCGTAGAGAAATAGTGAAGTAGTGACCAACTATTGAGGTATATGTGAGTGAAAAATTAAATTTTTGGGTGTAAGTGTTTGTGGGCGATTGTAGGAATAAACGTGTTCCTCAAACATCATTCAGTAATTTGCTACAAAGTGCAGTGTAAACCATATTCCAGCCAGTAGTGCTATATATTCTACAACTTTCAATGACACTCTAGCTTCTAACACCCAAACTTTGTGCAACACTGAAGAGAAATTCAAAATATTTGTTATTCCTCCGATCAGGTAAGCAGAGCAATCTCATCAAGTAAGCCTCTTGATATACTAACATCGATGCATTTATTGTTCAGAATATGCTTCATAAGAATTGCCCCTTATTATAAATTTATGTAGTCTTTGAATAGGGTAGCCACTACCAGCGAGTTGCCTAGACGTTTAGGACAGGTTAGAATATTTCTTTATACTGAATTCTAGCATCCAGATTAGAATATCATACTTTAAATGAATTACAGTGTTACATTATATTGAGAAAATGTTAAATGATGTTATATGTCAGGATAGGTGAGAATAAAATTAATATACTTAAAGGCAGTGGGTCTTAACTTCTAGGTTGTAACACAAAATTAGGTTGCCATGATAGTTTGTCAGTCACCAAGTGTTTCTATAAAATCAGAACATCGGTTAAAATTTTATTTTGACATGGCAGTGAATATAAGAAGGTGGTACTCAAAATGAGAGTCATGAGGACAAAGACAAAAATGTACTTGATGAGTCTTACAATCTCACATCTCCGTGGCTTCTTCTACCATCTTACTTCCTGTTCACAAAAATAATAAGTGAACTGCAATTTAATGTACATGTGTATACTATTATCACTAAAATGCATGGATAGAAGTTCTAAACATTGTTTTTTTTCCTTCTTTACTTATTTAGTTTTTCAGAAAGTTATTGCTGAGAGAACAGCATAAATTCAGAGGGCCTTGAGTTTATATAACATACAGACTGAACAATAAATGCAATGTATGCATGATGAAATGTCTCTTAACCTGTTAGTTTTTAAAGTACAATTAATAATTAGATATGTCTTATGGACATAGCACCATGTAGCCTGTAGATATTGACCAATGTTTTCGAGGTCCTTGCTGTGTGTACCATGGAGGTAACAAGACGGCCATCCTCATACTCACCACCATGAGAACCTTAAATCCTACTTATTAATAATTAGCTTACTTAAATAATTTTAATTTTGAACAACACATATCATGTACAATTAGCTAATTTAAATCAATAACAGTATAGCATGATGACAGCT